TCTCCTAATAGCGTACTGACATTATTTACATATGATCCACAACACATTTCTAGCTTGGTATGCAGCATACAACATGCAACATGCAACATGCAACTCGCGACATCCAGCATGCAGCATGCAACACACAGCATGTAACTTGCAACATGCAACATTCAGCATCCCAAAAGAAATACACTCATCTTATTCATGGTATTTCAGATTCTGTGGAGAAGCGTATCGAGAATATCAACGACTTTTTCACGTTCAGCCTGTACTCCAACGTGTGTCGCTCTCTCTTCGAGAAACACAAACTCCTGTTCTCGTTCCTGGTGTGTGTGCGGATCTTGATGAATGATGATAAAATCAACATGGTAAGAAATAAGACAAGATAAAGTTGATAATAATAATAATAAATCGTCGTTGTTTCACGAAGGTAGCATTTGCTGCGAACTCAGACATTCCAACGGCTTGTCGTGAGATTAGTTTTTTACTTCCGTCAGTCAAGAACATAAAAGGTACCGACTAATTATTTTTGATTGACGGCTGCGAAAAAAACAAATTTCAGTTAACAGTTTGTAACTACCAAGTGCGCAGAGTATCAAAAACCGCAGTAATAGCCAGTGGCTAACAAACCTATGGCTCTTGTTCCATGAGCGAATTAGAATGAAAAAGTTGATTTTTGTGAATGATAGGATTGAAACAAGAGGACCTTGACAAAAAAACAAAAAAACAAAAAAACCAGGAGAGAACCAGCAACTCTATTCACATAGAATGGCGAGTCTAGGGAATCGAACCTATGTCCACAGCGTTGAGAGAAAGCACATTAACAGCGTACTCATCGAAGCAATAGTTGCAGAGAAGACTAAGAGATCTCCATTATACTTAGAAGCTTTAGCAAAACGAATCTTTGCAGGGATTGCACTGCGAGGCTGTACAGTCCCATGAGTGACCCCACCGCACAGGTTTTCCTGACCAACTGTGTCGTTGGTGAGAAGTGTATACAAAATAACAACTTTACTCATTGACTTTTTGGGCGGTTAAAAGCTTTTCTTTCGAGTTAAGCAAAATCGTGATAGAAAAAGAAAACGTACAAGTTTCTCTTATGTATTATTTGTTTTACAATCAAGGACGAATGGCGATTCCTATTGGCTGGTGGTACGTTAGCTCCCAAGGAACTTCCCAACCCTGCACCTGATTGGCTATCAGACCGTGCCTGGGGAGACGTGCTGAAAATACAATCCTTGGTAAGTCTAGAACCCCATGCTCATTGCAACCTTTGGTATCTCAGACCTCCAAGAAAACCCTTCAAATGGTATCGAACCCTGTAACACCATCTGGGCTGATCTAAGTCACGGTACGACTAACTCACAGATTGAATAGCATCTTAGGTTTTGCGGAGGGAGGAAAACCAGAGAACCTAGAGAATCACCCTCAAATCAAGGGGGACGCCCAACAAACTCTACTCACATGCGATGTAGAGTCTGATACCCCAGAGATCAGACTCCAGGCCATCGACTCCCATACCATCAGAGGAAAGCATCCATTTGTATTGTATATTAATATCTTTATATGTTTTATTAACCCATAGCCCAAGTTTGCAGTATTTGCTGATACATTCTCTGAGCACATTGAAGGTTTTCAGAAGATCTTTGATAGCAGTGATCCCCACAGGTAACCATCATTACATCATGAAATCCTCGAAAATAGAGAAAAAATAGGGAAATATAACTTCACTTTTTAGGGTTTCGTGCCTTCAAAGTCTGTCTTCACTGTGGATGAGTTGACTTTACTGACAATGTCTTGAATAAAATCTCCAATGAACAGAACCCCAAAGAGAAATTATTTACACTTCCAGTTGACGTCGCCGTCGTAGATTTTGCAATTTCTATTTTCGCGTCTTTGCTAAGATCTAATGATTTAAATCCTCAAATTTTTATTCTTGTTAAATCCATGCAGAGAGCCTTTACCAGAGCCATGGAATACAGATTTAGACTCGTTCCAAAAGATGCTAGTCTTAAAGTGTTTGCGGGCCGATAAGGTGACCAACGCTATGCAAGACTTTGTATCTTCTCATCTTGGACAACGCTTTATCGAGCCTCAGGTGGGCAATACTAAAATAATTATGATTACAAAAATATTAGTATTTTTAAAATAATCGAATAAGACACTTCAACGCCGTGTGAAAAGTTTGAAACTGTACTGGCGTTTCAGGCGTTAGTTCTCGTAGTAACTGAAATTTAAAAAAGCTTTTCCTGAACTAAGATAGTTTCTCGTTTTTTTCTGAACGATTGGAAAAAACGAAAAAAACGCGAGAGAAAATTAGCCGCGAAGCGCAAGATGATAAGCGGCGCACAAAAAGGAAAAAAAAGAAAAAGAAAAATGAACATTTTAACTGTGCGCAAAAAGAACTGATGAAACAATCTCATTATTCCAAGATCCAATCTCATTTCATATGGTGACCTATTCTTCTCCGTTTATGATCACATGACATTCCCTTGAGAACTGTTTTTTTGTTGCAATCATGTTAAACTATTTAAACATCATCAACTCCCAAGAGTGGCACTACATGCTCTGAAATGTGCACAACAAACAACGAAGCTAAAAGGTCCTAAGGCCCCGTCCACACGTATCCGCAAATTTTTGTATCCGCAATTTTTTTTTTGCGGATACGGGTTGCGTCCACACGTGTCCGGAAATTTTCGAAAACGGTCTCCAGAGTGGAAATTTTCGAATACGTTCCGAATACGGATACGTGTGGACGGTCGTATCCGCAAATGTTCGAATACGCTGACGTAAACACGATTTTGCGCATGCTCAATAAGAAAAACTAGGTACTAGCGTGCATCAGGGCGGATCAAGAAATTTCCGGATACGTGTGGACGGGACCTAAGTTTACTGGCGTATGTTGTCATTGTTTTCGAATTTCCAGACAGCAGAGCTTTCATCGGTATTCAAAGACTCCTCGCCTACAACACCTTTGATCTTCGTCCTGTCCACTGGTACTGACCCAGCAGCTGATTTGTACAAGTTTGCTGATGAAATGAGATTCTCAAAGAAACTTACCGCCATCTCTCTGGGCCAGGGACAGGTTTGTACTTCGTTATGTTCAAAGAAATGCTTTTGTTATACCAACTGTCAAAGTCCAATTTTTCATGCTCTGATTGGGCGAAAGGATATCACGTGAACGTAAATAAGTTTTGTTGTTTCCCTAGCAGCGGATCTCAGCGGCAAGATTTAGAGCAAGAGGTCTATAATAATAGTTAGAGCCGGCATAAGTCACTCTCTTTAAAAAAAGTTTATTGTATTGTATTTTGTAAATGGACTGTATAGCGTCTGCCACAGGCGCCTTCACATGCTTTCAGTTCGACCCCGTTGAGCTTCGCCACTGCTGTACTTGAGGTAGTGATTAGCGATAAAAATTTTCTTGTTTTACAGCCATTCTCAATCACACACGCCCTCTAGCGATTGTTTCTGTCGCGACGAAGAAGGTTTTGGTGGACGTCAACCACAAGGCTTTTCCATAACATTGTCGGAAAACACAAAGCTATAAAGGCACGTGCCTATAGAATGTCATGGAAACGTCTTGATTGACGTCCACCAAAAGCTTCTTCGTCGAGACAGAAACGATCGCTAGTAGCGGCGCGTGTGATTGAGAATGGCTGTAATGTTCTTTATCCCATATCATATATTTTCTCTCCTGACTAGGGTCCTCGTGCCGAGGCTTTGATGAGGTCTGCTATGGAGCGAGGTAAATGGGTGTTCTTTCAAAACTGTCATTTAGCACCAAGCTGGATGCCAAATTTGGAACGTCTGATTGAGAATATCGACAGTGATAAGGTTTGTCTTAACTCAATATATTGACCTTTTTCTCAAGGTTAAACTTATATAAACTTATATTTTACGGCCATCACTCACCGTGCGGGGTTCTTACGTGAAGTTCGCTCCACACGCACTACCACTCCTGGCAAGGGAAAGCCCATCAAATAAACTCAACTCACATATGATCCAGTCTGAGCCGGTGTTCGAACCCGGACCACAGTGGTGAGAGGCGAGGGGTAAACCACTACGCCACCCATGCCCACCCATAAGGTTGCGCGTTTATCCAAAATTAAGGAACTTGACGGGCCACGATACCAGAACTTACATTTCTACGAAATGTTTCAATAAGAATTCATAAAATTCGTTTATTCTCTTCTTTGAATAAAAAAACTGGCTTCTCAATTTTACTGAATTTGCGTTTTTCAGTTTTGTGGCCCGTCAAGATTGGATGCGCACGCAACCTTGAGAAAACGGTATATTTAATTGTAAAATCCGCAGTTTGTAAATAGTTTTTTTGTTGAGTGGCTGCAACGTTCATGCCTTTGTATGGCTTCGCGTTCAAGTGCTTTAGATAAGCTTTCCTCATCTTTTTTACGAGAAGCATTATTTACAAGCAGAGTGCAAATTGTAAATCCGTGAAATAGCACAAAAACTAAATAGCATTTAAACACATCTATTCCTTTCTTTTTCAATTGTTTCATTGGTGCTATTTTGTACTCATTAGTTAGTACTATTTCATGGATATATAGTTTGCACTCTATCCTATGAACGACAGAGTTTTTCTTGATTCATTTTCAATAGGTTCATCGGGATTTCCGTCTTTGGGTAACCAGTATGCCCAGTCCAAAGTTTCCTGTATCAATCCTGCAAAATGGTTCAAAGATGACAGTCGAACCTCCTCGCGGGATCAAGGCCAACTTGCTCAGGTCTTTCGTTGGCTTCAATGATGACTTCTTCAACTCCTGCAAAAAGGTATGTATAACGTAGTAATTGATAAAACTAAAGTAAGAGAGCAGATCAAGCTAAAAATACTATAATTGAAGTCAGGATTTATAATAATACTTGATATTGTCTCTGACTTACAATTTTTGAAACATTTTTACAGACGCTTCGATCCTTATTAAAAACGGATCTCCCACCTATCTTCCTTTTTTCGTTCGTTCGTTCTTCGTTCCTTCCGTTCCCTCCCTTCCTCCCTCCCCTTCCTACTTTCCTCCTTTCCTTCCTTCCTTCCTTCCTTCCTTCCTTCCTTCCTTCCTTCCTTCCTTCCTTCCTTCCTTCCTTCCTTCCTTCCTTCCTTCCTTCCTTCCTCCCTTCCTTCCTCCCTCCTTCCTTCCTTCCTTACATCCTTCTGTTTGTCTGTCTGTCTTCCTTCCTTCCTTCCTTCCTTCCTTCCTTCCTTCCTTCCTTCCTTCCTTCCTTCCTTCCGAGAAACTTGTCAAGTCGTTAATCAACTAATTGTTATCTGTCTATTTAACAGAGCGAGTTCAAATACCTGTTATTCTCACTCTGCTTGTTCCATGGTGTTACCCTGGAAAGAAGGAAGTTTGGTCCATTAGGTTTCAATATCCCATATGAGTTCACTACAGGAGACTTAAGGATCTGTATCAGTCAATTGCTTATGTTCTTGGACGAATATGAAGGATTCCCATTTAAGGTTCGTGTGACAGTTGACTGATTCCATTCCCTAACCTCAATTGATGGGTTGCAAGCATTCCCAAGAGAGTTAAAAGACAAAAACATGGCGGCCATTGCTGTCTATCAAACATACCAAGTCACAGGGAAGCGAGCCATGTTGACAAATGCATCCGTATCGTTACTGCGCATGAGCAGAGTATTATTTGCAGAAAAACGGCTTTGCACCGTAATGCGCATGAGCAGAATATTTTTGTAGGCAGTTATTTTCAGTTGTCTCGGCCAACTAAAACAAAGGAAAATATATGTATTTGTATAGGAAATCGCATGATCTCGAGTACAATTTGGAAATTAATAGACACGAGTAATGTTTTGAAAGTTCTTGTAGTTGCACGAGCCTTTAGGCGAGTGCAATTAAAGAACTTTCAAAGCATTACGAGTGTCTATTAATTCAAAATTGTACGAGAAGATCGTGCGATTTTTTGTTTATAGTTCACTCAACAAAATTTTAGTAAAAAATGCGAAGCGATGCCGTTCATCTTTGTCTATTTGGCCGCCGATTTTCAGTCCATCGGGCAACTAAAATGCATAAAAAAGATTACTTCTTACGGCTTTAAAATTTTATTTATATGTTTTTTAAGTATAATAATTGTTTTGCCATGTTTTGGCCGTGTTGCCATAGCGACTTAATTCGGTACTCATCTCGACCAATCAGAGTCGAGTAATTTTGTTGAGTGTACTATAGTACATTTTATATGTATTTCCCACTTACTCCGACGAAGGACTAATGTCCGAAACGTCAGTTCCACAAACCTTTTTACGGTGATCCAATTTATCCACAAGTTCCTACTGTTTTATTCAGAAACACCGACGCAGTCCACGCTAGTTCTACTATTTATCACCACTCGTATGTATTTTACAGGTGCTGACGTATACTGCGGGGCATATTAACTATGGTGGGCGTGTGACAGACGACTGGGATCGTCGATGCATCATGACCATACTCCATGATTTCTACTCTAATAAAGTACTGGATGAAAACCATAAATATTCACCATCTGGCATATACCATGGATTACCCCTAGCGACAGATCTTGAGGTACTACAGGGACTGTTCATTCTTGGTTATTTAGGGGATTTGGATTAACTTATTAACTTATTAACCGACGCGTACGCTTACGTAAGCGGTCACGAGGCAGGTATAGGATATAGTAGTTCGTTACGTACGATTGGACCGTTGGTCACAGCAGTATTTTTGGCGTATATAGACGGGAAAACTGAATAAATCAAGCCAGCACATAACAGAACAGATGAGTAACAGTTTAAACAGTTTTTAACGGCTAAAAAAAAAACACCAATATAACGGAGTCTAACGGCTAAAAAACCACCAATTTTTGCCCTAGCGCCCTTGAGTAGAGTTGTTCGTTGGTTCTCTCCTGTGCTACGAGGGTTTTCCGGTTTCTCCGGTTTTCCTCCCTCCGCAAAAATCAACTCCTAAATTCCAATTCGATCACGGAATGAGGGCCACAGGTTTGTTAGCCACTGGCTATTAAGTGCTACCCTCGTGAAAGAAGGACGGTTCATCGATTTCTTACAAAGGTTTTCACAAATATATGGTATGCTAATGCACTTTAATCATATCAAGCTATATATTACTTTGTTGAAGGGAGTATTATTTGCCTTTTTGTGGCAGCGCCTGATTCAATGTCATGTTCGAAAATTGAGATCCAACTTTGAAAGGCGCTAAATTGCACTAGACAGTGTCGTGCTTCTCCTAACACTTCTCTCGAGTGTTTTGCCAATCTCAGCATGCTTTATAACTGCACACAGCACATAAGCGCACTCTCTATTTCGTGTATCATACGGGTTTGTGTTTTGCCAATCTCAGCGTGCTTTATAGCTGCACACAGCACATACGTGCACTCTCTATTTCGTGTATTATGCTGGTTTGTGTTTTGCCAATCTCAGCATGCTTTATAGCTGCACACAGCACATACGTGCACTCTCTATTTCGTGTATTATGCTGGTTTGTGTTTGGCCAATATCAGCGTGTTTTATAGCTGCACACAGCACATAAGCGCATTCTCTATTTCGTGTATTATGTTGGTTTGTGTTTTGCCAATCTCAGCGTGCTTTATAGCTGCACACAGCTACTACGTGCACTTTATATTTCTCCATTTTTTAAATGTTTGAATATTTTCTTCTATAGGGTTACATTCACTATATCCGCAGCCTACCTATTAATGACACCCCTGAAATATTCGGTCTCCATGACAACGCTAACATCACCTTCGCACAGAATGAGACAGATAATCTTCTTCATGGGATCTTGAAGATGCAGCCAAGATCTTCAACTGGGGCTGGGCGATCCAGGGAAGAGGTGAGAAAATAAAATCAATATCCTAGTAAAGTCAGAGGGTAGCATAGCTAACTTTTTCTCTTTCTCTTTCTCTTTCTCTTTCTCTTTCTCTTTCTCTTTCTCTTTCTCTTTCTCTTNTTCTCTTTCTCTTTCTCTTTCTCTTTCTCTTTCTCTTTCTCTTTCTTATATTCTTTTCGATTCTATTTCATTCCCTCTTATCATTTCCCATCCCTCCTTAACCATTTCCTTTATCATTCTTCCATTCCATTCCATCATGCTTTCTCGTTTCTATGTCAGAGATTGATAGATTTAATGGAAACTCATAAACTTATAAGTTTCTGGTAGAATACATTGCGTCCCATACACTGAATCGAAATATGGCGACCAATTTGAATAATTATTGTTCTGTACCCGGTTGTACGAAGAGTGAATAGCGTTATCCAAAGGATAAATCCTTATCCAGTCGATAAATCGACGCTGTTATCCAAATAGACCTATCCATCAGATAGCGCTATTGCCGGTTTTCACATGACGTCATCAAAACATCAAAATCTAAACTATAGATCGTATAAAGGCATTTCTCAAGTATGTTTTAGAAATCAGTGTTATGAGTCACAAGAAACATTTCGAGTCATTTCGATGTTTGGTTCTCAAGTTATGAAGGTTGAGTTTGTGTCACGCAATGCCGTCACGTCTATCTAAATAGCGATCAAAATAATAAAATGATTTACTCTAGTTAAAAGATTTTCCCTTAGACACGTTTTAAAGATCTATTTAAGGTGTATTTAAGTGAAATATAGTCAAAAATATTAAAAATTCCATCATCTTTTCGTCCGCCATGATGGTGTACCAACTTGGAACACCAAGATGGCCGCTCCATACATTTTAACCAAAAATTACGTCAGTTTACTTGCCTCTAGTTCCGCAAAGAAACGCTTTACAGCCTTTTTTTGGCCAGAATATGTAGTTTTGACCACTTTACAAGATTATGAGCGTTTTTCACTTGCATGAGAGGCTAGTCAGTCCAGAACAATAGTTATTAAAATTGTTCGGCATATTTCCATTTGGTGCGTAATGGCAACTCTTTCTCATAGGTAATGGAAGAATCAGGCCGCGGGATTCTCGAACAAGTCCCTCAACCAATGCCTTTAGGTCCAATAATGGAAAAGTACCCAGTGATGTACGAAGAGTCAATGAACACGGTGTTAGTACAAGAGGTCATTCGATATAACAAGCTGTTGACTGCAGTGAGACAAACTCTGAATGATCTCCTCAAGGCTCTTAAAGGATTAGTGGTCATGTCCCAGGCACTGGAAACGATGGCCAATAGTCTGTTCAACAACAGTGTTCCAGAGATGTGGGCTAGTAAGGTTAGTCATTCTTAATAGACCCTTTTCGAGTTCCAAATTACCGCTGTGTTTCTTGATTACAGACTCATTTACTCAGGCTTAGCCTCGATTTTGTGAAGAATATTCACGTGTTCCAGTCAAGGTCCGTCAAGTTTCAAAGTATTCGTATTGTTGAAGTTGTGCATTCTTTACTTTACCGTTGGTATGTGCGAGTAATTAGACACTGATTCGAGGCCAAGCCTGAGTAAATGAGTCTGTAATCAAGAAACACAGCGGTATTTTGGAACTCGAAACTGGACTATAAGACAACAGTCAACTTAAATGTGCTTAGGGGTGTGGCCTTGTCTTGGTCACTGTCGCTGCAGGAAATCTTGTTAACGCTCTTTAATTGTCAATACACATTACATGATTTCGCTTGACCTTTGGTTGGGAGATCTCACGAGGAGAGTGCAGAGAACAGAAAGAGGGTCACAACTGTAGAGGAAATATTAGACGGATTGAATTATTTGGATATGACATTAGTAATCCAGCAAAAAATCTTTAAATGAAGGAAAATCCAAAGTTTTTTTGCCATCCAGTAACAATCACGTGTCAAAAGGCCTATTCAGGGGTTGCGAAGCCTGTTAGGCATTATGCCGTCCACCTAAGAGTGGTAAACGCATTAGATCCCATTTAGTCATTCTTTTTTTTTTTTTTTGTCATTTTTAACCAGGCGTACCCTTCCTTGAAACCTCTAGCCTCTTGGGTCCAAGACCTCGTGGCTCGTATTCACTTCATTCAAGGATGGATCGACAAAGGAATCCCACCTGTAAGTGCATATGCCCTATTATTTCTTATTGCAGCTTGGCCAGGTATAGACCCCGTCCGCACGTAGTTTATTGCCCAAACATTGAATTCTTATGGGTTTAGGGGTCTTCAATTATTTAGTCACACACACATTTTATTTCGCACTTCCTTCTTCTATGACATTGTCTATGGACCACACCCTTTCCTCTTCACCTCTTTTGTACCCAAGTACAAAATACTTCCTTCTTCTATGACATTGTCTGTGGACCACACCCTTTCCTCTTCACCTCTTTTGTACCCAAGTACAAAATACTTCCTTCTCCTATGACATTGTCCTTGGACCACACCCTTTCCTCTTCACCTCTTTTCTACCCAAGTACAAAATACTTGAATTTCTTTTGTAGCTTAATAAGAATCAAAGCCTTTTCCGAAAACGTTTGTTTGTCAGAAATAAGCTTAATTCCAATGAATATTGATAGACTTTTAAAAGAGGCGTCTGAAGGATTTGGCTAATACTTTATGCGCAATTGAAATCCTTTCCGAAACAACATTCTTTATGATTTCACACAAATGGCTTCATCTAGATTGGCGGGTGATTTAGCTTTGTAAATACGATACTGTTTCTTAATACTGACTCTGCACGACTTAACAGACCTTTAGTCTAGTATTTTAAAGTATAATTTATCAAAAATACTGATCTCAGACCCAACAGCCTCTATTACAGCAGAAATCAAGCGTCTCTCTTTCGTTTAGCTTTGACACGTATGTAACATCTGAATTAAGCCTTGCAAAGTAAGTCTACTTGATGCATTAAAGTGCATTAGTTTTTCCTCCGGATTCACTTACTTGAATTTCCTATCGCGTCCTAATACACAACACAAGTGAATCTATTCAATACGCTCCTTGTCCTAATCCCTCTAGAGTCTCTTTCACAAGTCGAAGTATTTGTTCGGTCTTGAGAGGTTTTTACTGAAGTAAGTTAATTGAGTGTCAATTTTTACATCAAAAGACTTTTTAATCTCTCACGTAGTACTTTGTTACTTCGGTGATAAAAAAACTAAAAGCAAAAAAGTCGTTGATCGTCTCAAGTGTTTTGACTGGACAGAGCTATCACTTGCTCAAGACGTTTATCCCGCCCAAAGATCTATCTGGAACTTTGCGGAACAAAAAAAAAACCTTTGATCGCAATAAGCCTTGTCAATTGACTAACGTCTTATGGTCAAAGGCGCTGACTACTATGTTCCAGTAAATCACCCCTGTGTATTGTTTTGGCAATAAAAGGCAAATACTAGAAATCCTTCGTTATGCTAAAGTGTATTCGATCGATTTTTTTGTTTAAAATGTAAAGAAAAAGACCTCTTTAACTTGGGTGTAATGTTTTCCCATTTCTTTGTTTAATGGTTGTGCATGAGAAGACACATGAATATGGATACAACTCAAACAAAGAATCCTATTATCAAGAGTAACACGTGGTCTGAAATGGGAAAACATTTCGCCCAGGGTAAAGAGTTTTATCCATCCTTTGCTGTAGAAGCGTGTCTTCTTCCGTGGCTATCGTATTGAAACGTTTAACTTCCCTACAGTAAAGCCTTTAATATCAGACGTTCTTTCTCCAACACTAAACATTATTCATAATCCTGAAACGAAGTTAAGTTAATAAAGCATATTTATTTGACAATTTTTTTTTTTTTTTTTTTTTTTTTTTTTTTTTTTTATTTTTCTTTCCTGCCCCGCCGCCCCCTTCTTTTTTTTTTTTTTTTTTTTTTTTTTTTTTTTTTTTTTTTTTGTAGCTTTAGCATTGAAAATTTCCGAATAGGTTTTTTATGGACGTATCATACTTGACCTCCCTGTTCAAGTGGAGCAAACATGGACAATATCAATGATATTTCGTTCTCATTTTTATTAACATTCTCATTCTTATTCCCATTCGTAAATGACATCATTCATTAACATTTTTATTCTCATTTAGATGTTATTCATTTTTATTCTTATTTTCGTTCTTATACTAATTATCATTTCCTTTTTCCCGTTTTCTTTACCATTTTTTCCCTCATTTTCTTTCTTATATTAATCTTATTCTGGATATTCCATGATGCAAATAATAATAATAATAATAATAAGGCCCATGGATTGGACTCGGTTTAAGTAATTTATACTTAGGTATAACAAGTAAACCTTTATTAGATGACCTAAGAGTGCGAGACGGTGGATACTTATGTTATAACTCACTTAAACTGGCAGAATACCATTTAGTGCTCTGACACAAAAAGTCCAGGTTTCAGTGAACAACCCCCTACCCCACCCTCCCCACCCTCCTCCCTACTAATGACCAACCCAGTTATTGTCTACACCTTCCTTCTCATGGATATTTTGTTTGTTTTCTTGACAGGTGTTCTGGATCTCAGGATTCTTTTTTCCACAAGGTTTCTTGACAGGCACTCTTCAGAACTACGCACGAGCGTATTCGATATCCATTGATATTATATCATTTGACTTTGAGGTAAGATATTCAACATGACCTTATAGTAAGTTGTCTTTCTGGACCTTTATCACGCCGCAGCCATGTTGACTGATGGCCTCGCATTCAAGCGCTTCAGGGTTTTATTCTCGTGGGAATAATCATGGAAACATGCGATAAAGGACTATTGCGTGCTTGAAAACACAAATCTCGCTCTCCTTCTCCTTCTCCTTCTCCTTCTCTTCCTTTGTTTTTCCTCACTCTCTGTTTCTGACTCGCTTCTCCTTTCGTCTCTTTTTTTCCTTTTCCCTCTCCCGCCTTATCCCTTCCCTCCTTATTTCATTCAAGACCCCTTCCCAGGTTTCGTGACAACATTAACATTTTACTATTAGCTCGAATACGATATCGCGCACTACGATCGTCTCATCACGATGTTTTATTTCCTAAAGGTAATAAAACAAACAGAAGCCGATATAAAAACCCGTCCCAAAGATGGATGCTATATTCGTGGTCTGTTCCTCGAAGGCGCACGATGGGACAGCGACAAGCACGCACTAGCCGAGTCCCGTCCGAAAGAGCTGTTCACAGACATGCCGATCATCTGGCTTAAACCCATTGCTAACCGAGAGAAACCCGAAACTGGTATCTATGTCTGTCCTGTATACAAGACGCTCACTAGAGCAGGTTAGTTCAAACAAGGCTTTCTTAGTAATTAACTATATACAGTGTGAAAAGGCTTGGTCAAATCAGATGCGCACTAGCATCTGAATGTACTAATCATGCCGGSTAGATCGATTATTCGGTCAACCGGTCGGTCTACCAACCTGGATGTATGCCCAGCTGGCTGGTTGACTAGCTTTGCACTACATTCTCTATGGGGCCAAGAAAAACAAACAAAGATGCAAAGGGTCTATTATCTTACGAGAGTTCTTTTTAGAGCAGATTTAAAAGGTGCCTAAAATAAACAGACCAACGCCACACATCAAAAAAATATCGACACTTTCTCGATGTGTTTCCATACAAGACGCATATGAAGAGTTAGTCAACACCCTTTCGTTACGCACTACCTTTCGACACGAGAAAGCATCTAACCTTCGAGTTTCTCAGGCTCAGGTCAAGCGTCGAACTTCACATGAGCCGAACCTAATTGAAACAATATCAAGGCGGTTTTCTTTGATGTAACTAGGTTCGGCTCATTTTACGTTCGACGTTTGACATCAGCCTTAAAGAACAACCATGTTTTAGTTTTCGATAATCGAGTTTGAAACGCGAGTTTTCACTACAGTAATCACCACGCTCCATCGATTGATTACAAAGCGTTGGTTCAAATCTACACTTTCCTTTGACAAGAGTACTTAGACCGTTCAAGCGAGACTATTTTTCTAAAACAAGCTTTATCTGTCTAGGTACCCTTTCTACTACCGGTCACTCTACAAACTTTGTACTGTCTGTCGAAATCCCCAGTGCTGAGTCTCAAGATCACTGGATCAAGCAGGGCGTGGCACTTATGTGTGCATTAAACTACTAAACATGCGGCCAACATGTGTGCGTGTGCGTGTGCGTGTGGTTTTTGTACACGATTCTAAATCGTACCCTTCGTTTTATTTATACATATTCGGCCTTTGTCTTTGCCTTTTTTGTGGCAATGAGGTTCAAGTTCGCTGGTATAACCAAGCCGTCATCTTGGCTCCGAGAACCTTGATTCAACGAACATATTGCCGCACGCCCATTAGGGATCATGTTTAACTACACGTTTTATTACCAACCCATGTCAATAACTTCAAAACACTCTTACAAAAATAACCTCATTTATCATTCGTTTCAAATATTGTACATAGTTATTTTTTTAGTACAAATAAAGCTGATTATAATAAAGCTTATCTCTCGCATAAAACTTTCTAATGATTTATTTCTTGATGTACGGTCTAGACGATCAGCATGTTTCAGGACTATTAGATACTAGATATTAGATCTCAAAGTGCCGAAGGCGGCAATTATATCAGTGAATTTCAATTACACATACTATATTTAATGTCACCTGCAATATCTTGCGATAGTGATGTTTTGTCTGCTTTTGGCAGACACCTATACCCCATTCACACCAAGGCTTAAACATGTTTAAAAGTGGTTTAACTAAACGGGTTTGGAAAACTATCTACGAACACTGCACAATCTTTGGTGAAATAATGCATGTAAACTATCCTTTGTCTTGCTCTGATAATATTTTAGAAAGTTTCATTATATTGTAGGTTTCTAGTTTCTCGATTTTTTTCCTAATGAAAACATAGTCTAACTAAACACGTTTAGGTGTGAATGGGGTACTACACTGGTTTTTACCTTCAAAAATTCATTCTCCTTAAATATCCCTAGTTAATAAAGCAAAGCATACCTACTAGCTAAAAAGGCACTTGATTTCAAAATTCCATAAATCTCAAAATTATTCACTAGTCATTTTACATTTTATGGCGCGCCGTCTGAGAGAGCTTCAAGTTTTCATCAAAACTGAACTTAA